AGAGAGAGAGAGAGAGAGAGAGAGAGAGAGAGAGAAAGAGAGGCAGAGCCAAATAGAGAGAGAGAGACGAGGAGTGAGACAAAGAGAGATGAGAAAGGGAGATAGAATGAGAGAGAGAACGCACCTTTTCTTTCCTCGATTTACAACTGTTGTTGGAAACAATGGCCCCGGTGACTTGGTTGATGATCTCAAACCGCAATACGATGACGCGTGTCGCGACGCGCGAAAAAGGAGGTGTCGACGTGTGAGAGGGCAAAACCGCGAATGGAGACATGGGAGATTGCGACGCGAAGGAGATGGCGAGGCGAGGGATATGGCGACGAGGGAGAGAGAGAGAAGCGAGCCAAACGGCGGGGGGGACGACGACGAGATGGCTGTGTCCCTCGGCGACGAGATGGCTGTGTCGCTGGCAAGGGCGGGTGGTCCGGGCGCGCGATGGGCATTTTCGGCCGTGAGGGTTGGCGACACTTGCGATTGCCTGCTGCTTCGGACGATTGCAATGCCCACCTGCAAATTCGCGGAATGGCGCCACCGTCATTCGAATGGCGGATACATCCGCGCGGGGCCCAGGAAACGAAAGTGGGCGGGAAAAGTCACGCCGGATGACATGTTGGAACCGTCGATATCACGGTAAAATCCGCGCGGGCCCCAATAATCAAAAGTGGGCGGGAAAATTTGCGCCAGATGATGCGTTGGGACCGTCGATAGCACGGTGAAAAAAGGCCAGTTATATCGCAATCACGACACGCCCTCCCGCGACGGTCTCGGACCGTGCGATTTCATGAGGAGGGTCCGTCAAAAAGGGACCGCCTGATGTCACAGCCCCCGACGAGGCACTACCTGCGGCACGCAGCTGAAGGGCCTCTCAAGCCCCGCTCACTACACTCTCCGTTCTCCTGTTGGGCACCAAACGAATGGGGGTGGCTGTCACACCCGTTCGCTAGTGTCATTTCTTCCGTGTTTTGCCTTTGCGACGCGTCCGCCATCGCTCGAAGTCGCCTGCATTATATCGCAAGCCCCTTGCACAACCGTTGGCCCCCGCGAGCATGATCATGCCTGCATGCGACCAAAAAGTCCGCGGTCATGACCGCGGGTGATACATAGAAGGCGACTAAGCCATTCAAATTAGAG